CCTGTGGCTCACAGTGCCCTGTGTGCCGGGGGGACAGAAGTCACCAGCCTCAGCACTGTGGGGACTGCGCTCCTGAGAACTCAGCCTGTGGGCCGGTGCTGCTTTCCTCTGGTTCCGGGATGGCCAATGTAGGTCTGCGTGGCTTCTCTCCCACTCTAGGGCTTCAGCGAGGGCAGGTTAAGGGACCCGTGGGGAAGCCAGGACCTCTTCTCACCCTGATCCTGTCCTGACTGTGGCCCCTGCTGGCCCTTGCTCTCCCTCAGTGTCTGTGGGACTCGGGGGCAGAATGCTTCCTGGCTGGGTCTGTGGTTTCCTGGCCTAAACCCACATTCAGGGAGGGCAGGGGCTGAGGCTCCTGTTTGTTTTCTTCCCTGACTACCGCTCCTTCCGACCTGGGGCCCAGGGGGAGGGCAGATGTGGCAGGTGAGTCCACTGGTCACTTAGCCGGCAAGTGTTATGCATGAAAGCTGCACAGATGAGACTGTGTCCTGTATCACCAGGTTGGGCTGGGGGCAGACGCCATGCCCAGGACAGGTGTTCTGCAGGGGCTCCCAGAACCATCTACAGAGGGCGACAGGAGTGTGGGGATCTCCATGTTATCCTGGTCAGCCAAGGCTAGGCAGACCTGGAGTGAGAGCCCATCTGCCTTTGCCTGTGTCTGATTCTCTGTAGACCTTCAAGACCTCGTGTCTCCCCAGAACCTGGCTCAAACACCTCTTCCTGCAGGAAGCTCCCTGTGATTTTCACTGAGTGCCCTCCACTCGTGCCCGTAATTTGAGGAGAGGCTGGGGGGGGGGGCAGAGGAAAGAGGCTGGGCTTTGCCTGGAAGACAGTTAAAGTGTGTCTGACCATGGGCAGGGCCCGGTGACCTCTGCGGGATGGGCACATGATGCGTGTGATCCTTTCCCAGCCTCTGAGGCTTTGGAGGGCAGTGCAGATTCAGTGCTGAATCTCAGGGCTTGCCTGGTGCACTCTAGGATGGGGGCCAGAGTCCTCAAGAGTGAAAGAGCCCCTGCTTACACCGGGACTCATCTCATTGCTGAGTCAGGAAAAGTGGGAGCAGACCGTTGGTCCTGGGCTGGGGGACACTGTAGGACCCCTGCACCCTGCAGCCTCAAACCCACCACCCCCCAGCTGCTGCACAGCAGCTCAGCCTCACACCTGGAACCCAAGATGCTCCAAGGTGCCTCTTACGTACCCCCTTGGGACTTGACCCAGGGCTGAGGTGGCTCGGGAGCGAGTGATGGCCTTGTGTGTGAGGCCCTGGGCTCCTTCCCCCGCACCAAAAGGAAAGGAACATGGTGGGGATGCAGCAGAGCTGTCCATGGCCTGGTGCCCATCTTGCAAGATTGGGGCTCTCGAGAGGACTGTGCCAGCAGTGCAGGCAGCTAGGCCAGCTGGGCACATGGCCAGTGCCTGGGGACCCACCATCACAGAGGCCATGGGGGGTGATACCAGCTAGACGCCCATCCTCAGTGCCAGGCCACCACGCCAAGCTGGGTCACCGCGCACCTATTGCCCCTGTAAATAGTGACATGATGGGGTTAAAGGGCGCAGGCACAGTAGCACCAGGCTCCCATGTGGGTGTGAACTGCAGGGCTGGTGATGTCCCAGGGCCTCGGTGGTGGCCCTGTCACCCGCTGTCCCATGTTGGTGTTGATGTGTCCTGGACTGTAACCTCTGACACCAGGCACAGTGGCACTGTCCAGTTGCTTGTCACCTCTACCGGTGCGAATGACCTTCGGGTGCAGTGTGAAGTCACAGCTAAATCCCAAGAGCTCGACCTCAAGTGGGGAGGGGGACAGGACAGAAGCTGCTCCAGGAGTGAGAAGGGACCCCCAGTCCATGCTCCCTACTGCAAGCTCACACATCCCTGTATCCTGTGTTCCAGTGCAGGGATTTCACGGCCCACACAGGCTACGAGGTGCTGCTGCAGCGGCTGCTGGATGGCAGAAAGATGTGCAAGGACGTGGAGGAGTTGCTGCGGCAGAGGTGCGGGGCAGCAGGGTGGGCGGGGGTTGGCATCTCTCTAGGCTGCTGCTGGGACATCCTGCTCCAGGAAGCCAGAAGCCAATGCCGGTCCTGCAGTCTGGAACCCACAGGTCCCTGAGGTGGAGAGGTTGGGCCCCAGCTTCTGCTAGCAGCTGTCCTGCCTGAGGCTGGCAGAGGGTCCTGGGTGGAGACAGCAGTGTCCACTGTGTCTTACAGGGCCCAGGCAGAGGAGCGGTATGGGAAGGAGCTGGTGCAGATCGCGCGGAAGGCGGGTGGGCAGACGGAGATCAAGTAAGCACCAGTCACAGCTCTGGCCTCTCCTTGGCTGGGGCTTCGTGACTTTGTCTCTTGGGTGTCCTATGGCACGGTAGCCAGGCAGGGTTGGGGCATCCAGACTGCTCACAGGTGCGGGCCCTGCATGGTGCCTGGTGATCAAATCCAAGTGCTGCTGGGCAGGACCAGTCAATCTTCTTAGTCTACCTGCTCACAGCCCAGCCAGCGCCAGTCCAGGGGGTGAGGAATGGCTCCTGTCCACCTGTCCCAGCTCCTGCAGTTATGTCTCAGCCTGGGCTTCTAGGAGGAAGAGGAAGTCAGGTGGTAGCACACTGGGGGTCCAAGGCCTGTTGCTCTCCCACCAGGATGGGGCCTGGGACTGCCGCTGTCCCTGTCAGTTGCAAGATAAGAACATCCCCTTCCTCAGCAGGTTAAATGGTCCAGGGCTTGGCACAGGCCTGGCTGGGAGGGTGCCCTGGGGAGTGGTCATGGTGGAGTCTGTGCCTGCCCCGGGAGGGGGACAGAGAGGGTGGCTGAGACTGGGCACTGAAGCCTGGGGTGTGGGCAGCTTCGGGAAGGTGTGGACACTCCCAGACAGGGACAGAGGAGGCTGGGGCTCAGAGCACTGGGCTAGTCCTGAACAGGGGCCTGAGGCCTGAGCCTGCACAGCCACCAGCCCCTCTCCCTGCACTGATTCCTGGAGGTGATGCGCCCTGCTCTACCTGGGACAGAGTCCCTGAACGGACCACACCCTTCCTACCAGAGAAGCCATGAGGAGGCCAGAGGAAGCTTTAGGAGTACTGGGGCTGGGGAGGCCACGCCTGGGGCTGGAGTGGGGTGCTCCATCCCCTTGAAGTGCTGAGCCCATATCTCGTCTGCCATTGGATGGGGTACAGTTGGGTGCAGTGGCACTGAGGGGACAACCAGGCTGCGGGTGGGGGCTGAGGGTTACACCCGGGAGAGCTGGATTTTCCAAGAGATGACTGGGGCTGCACTGGGAGGGTGGGAGGTGGCCATGGGAGGTGGGTCCTCTGAGCCATGCTCAGGGGACCGTGAGTCACTGGGACCAACAGCAGGAAAGGAGAAGTTGATCCCTAGGAGAAGGAGTAAGCTCAGCTGAGGGTGTGGGAGAGCAGGGCAGGTCTGCCCTGACTTAGTTTCCCTTTCTGAGTTGTGAGTCCCTGTGGAAGGTAGCACTCACCCCTGAGAGGTGCTCTGGGCCCTCATGATGATGGAAATGCCCATGAAAGAACCCTAGGCAGTGTGGAGTGGTGTACACCTATAATCCTAGGACTTGGGAGGCTGAGGCTGGAGGATCACTAAGAGTTCAAGGGTAGCCTGGGCTACACAGCTAGACCCTGCCTCAAAAAACCAAAGAAAAAAAAAAAGGAACCCCAGGGCTTACTGCCCAGAACCTGGCTCCCAGGGCAGGCTGGGAGGGGAGCAGGAGAAGCCAGCAGTGGCCAGGTGGGCAGGGCATGCAGTGGATGGGCATTGCCTATGGGTAGGGTTCTCGAACAGGGTCCATCCCAGTATCCCTCCTTCAGGGCCACCATGCAGCTCTGCTGTCTGCACACAGCAGCCTCAGTGGTTCTTGCTGCTGCCTAGCATGGTACACACTAGGGCAGTGAGGCTGGCTGTCACTCCTTTAACTGGGCCGAGCAGCCATCATCCACTCATTTGTCCTGTAAGCACTTGTGGAGCACCTATTATGTGCCATGGGTTGAGGCAAAGCCCAGATCAAGGAGAAAGTTGTTGTTGTTGCTGCTGCTCCTGCTGCTGCTCCTGCTGCTGCTGCTCATCCTCATCCTCGTCCTCCTCCCTCTCCTCCTCTTCTGTCTCTTCTGTCTCTTCCTTCTTCTCCTTCTCTAGGAAGCCCTTCCTTGGTTGAGGCCTGTTGTCCACAGGCCACTCTTTCTGTGCCAGCTTGGAGGCTTCCTATAGATGTGAGTGGGCATCACATTAGTCCCTGGTATAGACACATGTGAGGGAGGCCTGGCTGGTGGCCCGGCCCCAGGTGGGGGAGCCCAGGTGTGTGGGGAGTCTCTCTCAGTCCCTGGAGAGTGGTGAGCAGAGGACAATGGGAAGGAAACCAGGGGGGTCCTATACCCCCACCAATAGGCAGAGAGCTACACCCCCCCTCTACAACATCCCTCAGCCTCAGGTGGGAGCTGCCAGTAGCCCCAGGGAGTGGAGCACGGGGGACATCTCTGCCATCTAAACACCACTGTGGCGTGAGCCTCTTTTGCAGGCTGTTAACTCAGGAGCAATAGGGGACACAACCGGGACCTGGGGCCCAAGCCCCGGCAAGCCCAGCCCACCGGGAAGCTCACCCACCCAGATGGGGCTGCCCTTTCCCCTCTGCCCTCTGCCCTCCTGTACCCCACAAGCTTGGCTGTCTCCCACTTGCCCTCTCTGGCCCTGACAAGCTGTGGGTGCCCTGGCTCCCGGAAGCTCATGGGCAAGGGTTGGAGACTTGAAGTAGGCAGGGCTGGGCCAGCTTCCTGTGAGCAGGGACGGCTCCCAAAAGAGTATGGCTCAAACTGTACCTCCTTTTGCTGTAGACCTGAAGCAATGCGGTTTTCCTGCAAAATACTTTGTGATTGCTGTTCCTCTGAGCTCAGCAAGAACGAAGCCATCCCTGAGGAACCGATGCCCATCCCTGATGCCAGCCCACTGTGGGCACAGCCCTCTGTGCAGGGAAGTGCTGGTTGGGCTATCTGAGCCAGGTAGAAAAAGGATAGGGATGCCAAAGCAGGGATTTGAGGTGGCACAGGCCATGTCAGGGGAGAGTACAGGAAGAGCCCTTTATGCTGGGAAGCTGGACTTGTTTGAGGGCAGAAATGCAGGCCAAGCTTCCTGAGAGTCAAGCAGAAAGGGGCAATAGCCCTGGTGATGGGTGGCAGGAGGGAGAGGCCTGCATGGTGTCGCAGTCCAGGAGTCAGGGAGAGTGGCGTGGTCACAGCAATATCCCTCCTTCCTCGGGCCTCAGATCCACCTCCTCTCAGGCCTCCCTCATTTCCTGCCCGTGAAATGGGGATGGGAAAGGTCCCTTCCCTTCACAATTGAGGGTGAACCCTCTGGGCAGGATGGAGCCACAGTAGCCCATGAGCAGTGTGAGAGAGGAGGCCAGACCCCACTCCATTTAGCTTGTGGCCTGGGACCCTGCATTCCCGACTCTTCTCACAGGAGGTTCAGCTGCTCGGGGACCCACACGGGCAAGGCAGGGGCTCGCCGGTCGCCGGGACCCATAGTCTCCCTCAGGCCTGGCCTCTGGGGTCCTGCCAGGTTTCTGCTCCTCCCTGGCTGTTTCCCCAGTGGTCCCTGGAGATCAGGAAACCAGGCTTCTTCCCAGAGAAAGCTGGGTCCCGGGTGTCACATGGCCCTGTGGCCGCCATGGTGTGTCCCCACTCCTCCTTGCTGTGTCCTGGGTTTCCCTGGCTGGGGTTTGAGGAGGTGCTCAGGGTGAGGCTGGCCAGTTACCACTTCTGCACAGCCTCTCCTGCATTGGGTTCCAGCGGACATGCTGTTTGTGCCTATTTATCTGATGCCCGAGCAAATGGGCGTCCTGTTTTCACCTGCCAGCCTAGCATTGTCCCTGTCCCCCAGGCCTGGCTCCTCTTCTCCCCTCTGCCCATGCCCACCTTGCCTGTCCTTGCAGCCAGCAGGACCCACAGCTGTCCCCTCCTGCCACCTGGTGGCCCCAGCCGCTCACCAAGCTCCCTCTGAGCGCTCCTCCACTCCCCTGCCTGGTGAGCCGAGATCTGACCGTGGCCCTCTCCTGCTTCAGCTTCATCCCAGGTGCTGAGAGGAGACGACTGGAGGGAGGGGCGCACCAGGAGAGGTGCAGAGGCAGGGTTGTCCCTGTCCCCCTCCTCTGCCACAGCGGAAAGTTTGGATTACTCTCTAATTCCCACAGAGAGCTTCCCCTCTAGGAATTCCAGGATGGGGTTTATGTGGATCATCACGATTCACCTGCTACATAGGTCCCTCGGATCCAAGGCGGCCCGGGATCTCCCCACCAAAATAAAAACACTCTGGGTCTGCCAGGATTTCACGTTTGTGCACATGGTCTCCTTGGCAACCCGGTCCTTTCTGTCTTGCAGCACCTTACGGGCCTCCTTTGACTCCCTGAAGCAGCGTAAGTCCCCCTGTCCCTGCCTGGGGCTGCAGGGTAATGGGGGGAGTGGATGCCTGCCAGGAGGGTGAGGCAGGCTATCACTGGCTTTGTACTAGGCTCTGAGGCTGAGGGAGGATATATGGGGCAAAGAAGAGGAGGTAAAGGGTGCTGGGCAGGGCTGGGTGGAGGAGCTGTGGTAGGCTGAGGCAGGCTTGCCCCCAGAGATGGAGAATGTGGGCAGCACGCACCTCCAGCTGGCCCTGGCCCTGCGTGAGGAGCTGCGGAGCCTGGAGGAATTCCGAGAACGGCAGAAGGAGCAGAGGCGCAAGGTGAGGGGGGTGAGGCCCACGCTTCGGGTGGGGTCACCAGTGGAGAGTGTGGGCATGGCCAGGCGGGAGAAGAAGGTGCTGGTCTCTGATTATCCCACCACACAGACTGCAGGGTTCAGGGGCAGCGTGGGGTTGTCCAGAGCCAGCTTGATCAAGGGGTCCCTGGACACCAGCCCTGGGCCCCAGGGTCAGGGTGGAGCAGACCATGGGGTGAGGGCTGTGAGTCGGCTGAGCGGCCAAAGCCACTTCTCACCAGTGCAGGGACAGCTGGCCTTGGGGTGACTGTGAAGCAGAAGGTGTGGGAGGCGTATGAACAGAGGCTGCTGGGCCACGTGGGCTGTGGAGCCTCGTCCATGGGAGGGGTAGGACACAGATGGCGGGGGACTGCCCGAGGGAAGGGGCTTGGCTGGGTGGGGTGACAGATGCTCCTGGCATGGAAAGGGTCTTTAAAGAGTCAGAACTGGTATGGAAAAACACAGACGCTGCTGAGGGAGGAAAGCCCCTTTTCAAGGTGGAGAAAGTTGGTGCAAATATCCTCTTCTCTGTGCCTCAGTTTCTTGTAGCATGAGACTTTTGGCCAGCTCCCAAGCGTCGAGAACTCAGTATTCAGACAGAGCTCAGGATTCCAGGACAGGAATTCAGTGCAGCCACATAGACATGTGGCCGCTGGGGGGCGGCAGAGCTACAGCCGTGGTGCTGGGCAGTGATCTGAGTGGGGACTCCTGCCGCCAGGAGCCGGGGGTGTGGGCTCACACCTGGCCATGTGTCCTTGTCTGCAGGGGAGGTGGGCTGCACTGTGTCCTCAACCTCACCCTGGGGGTACTCGTGTCTCAGCGTGTGTGTGCCTGGGTGAGCCTGCGCCTCTGTGACCAGGGCCCCAGGGTTCCCAGCTGGCCCAGCCCTGAGTCCTGGGCACTGTGGCACTCAGGTGTCATTTCTAACCCTCCAATGCCTGCCTCCTCCACTTGAACAAGGGGCCGCTGTGCCGTGCATGGCCTGAGTACCGCGGTGCTCACCACGTAGAGGGTTTGGTCTGTGCTTGAGTTTGTGCAAACATGAGCAGTTCAGCGTGGATGTGGCACACACGGGCCACCAGGGCACATGTGCCGTGAGCAACTGTGATGAGGAGAGGCTGTGAAGGAGGAAAGCAGCACTCTGTCTTGTGTGTCTGCTTGTGCGTGTCCCTGCGTGGAAGAACTCTGGTGGAGCCCAAGTCCTCACTGTGTAGGAGGTGGCCCTGGTGCCTGGTCCCTCCCAGAACGAGTGGCTGCCATGCCTCAAGGCAGGGACGGTCATCCTCTTGGTCTAGTGGAGCATCCGAGGCTGTGGCCCCTGCTCTGAGCCCCATGTTCCCTGCTTGCAGTATGAGGCCATCATGGACCGTGTCCAGAAGAGCAAGCTGTCACTCTATAAGAAGGCCATGGAGGTGAGGGGCCTGCTCATGGGGACACCAGGCCACACTTGCACCTGCCTGGAATCCAGCTCCAACCCTAGCTTCTGGTGCTACAGTGGACACCAGGGCCCCTAACTGCCCTAGTGGATCAGCGAGGGCCTCTGGGGTCTTAAGGATAGGAAAGGATGGGTCCCACACAGTGTCTGTAGGGTGACCACACTATTGGCTGGGGACCCTAGAAGAGTCTTTGGGTGGTGTCCACAGGACACCAGGTGGGAAGGAAGGAAGGGTCCCCCAGGTGCCTCCTTGGGGACCACATACTAAAGTGGATACACTAGGGCCTCAGCTGGAAAGGATGCTGCCTCAAGCCTGCCAGCAGCCCCTGCCTCATCTCTGCCTCTGCCTCCCAGATCTCTGTCCCTGGTGGAGATGTCCTATGTCACCACAGGGGACAGGGAGTCTGGGCTTGGGGTGCGTGGCTCTGGGGGACCAGAGCAGGACTGCCTGGCCCTCAGCCCCCACCTCCACACCCCAGTCCAAGAGAACATACGAGCAGAAGTGCCGGGATGCGGACGACGCTGAGCAGGTCTGCGAGCGCATCAGTGCCAGTGGGAGCAGTGCCAGCCAGAAGCAAGTGGAGAAGGTGCTGGGGTCAGCGGGCCACAGGGGCCATGCAGGTTGGGTCGGGGGAGGTGCTAGGCCCTCTTGGACCCCTGGTCTCTGTGCAGTGGATTTCCTAGAATCTCAGGGCCTGGACAGAGGGTCCCCTCTGTCATCTCCAGTTGTACCTGGGACCCAGTCCTGAGTTCTGCCCTGAGTGCAGGAACAAGAAGAGCCTTTGGAGGTTGCAGAGAAAGGCCCCAAACCCAGCCCGTCCAGGCCCAGCTCTTGACCACTTGGGCCTTCAGGGCAGGGTGGAGGTGTCAGAGCCACCTAGGCCCAGGAACAATGTCACCCAGTGCACAGGCCGACAAGCTGAGGCCCGAAGGGGCAGGGTCCATGGGTGGGTTGGAGCAAGGTGGGCATCAGAGCTGGGTCCCAGCCACAGGCTCAGTGGCTGCAGCTCCACCCCAGGTCTTGCTGTCCATTGTGCAGTAGACCAAGGGGTGGTTTCTGGCCTGTTCCCTTTCCCTGGGCCCCATTGGGGGAGGCCCCAGCAAATGAAGCAAGGTGCCCAGTTCATCCTGAGCAACCCCTGGGTGGCACAGGGAGAGACTGCAATGAGAGCTACTCCCGAGGGCTTGAGGGCCTGGGGCCAGGCAGGGATTCAGTACAGCTCTCCTCGACTCCCCAGAGCCAGAACAAGGCCAAGCAGTGCAAGGATGCAGCCACCGAGTCAGGTACGTAGGCCTGGGTCTCCCCTCCCACTGATAGCCCCTTTTAACAGGTAAGGAAACTGAGGCACAAGGAGGCTAAGCAATGTGCCCAAGTCCCAGCCTTCTGTCCTCCACCCAACACCAGTCCCCACTAGCAAACCTCCGGGACACATGGCTCCCCCGAGCCAGGGCAGTTCCCTACATGTCCCGTTCTCTCTGGCCGGGGACAGGTGAGAGAGACCAAGACTGCTGGGCTCCCCATCCAGCAGCTCCAATGCCCCCTCCACCCTCCTCTTGGGCATGGACACCCTCTCTGAGCCCAGTTTCCCATCTGAAAAGGAAATGGGGTGCAAGAACTGCCAGTGGCCTGGACTCTGTGCTGCATCTGGGGCCCTAGCCAGCCCTCAAAGGGCAGTGAGGAGCTGGAGTCCCCCGGAGGAGGCCTTTGTCAACCCATGGGGCCCTGCAGGCAGGAAGCTCCTCTGGGTCTCCAAGGGATTGGGGGGACCTGGGCTGCGGCCTCCCTGACTGCCTGTGCTTGCAGAGAGGGCGTACAGGCAGAGCATTGAGCAGCTGGAGAAGGTTCGGGCCGAGTGGGAGCAGGAGCACCGGACCACCTGCGAGGTGAGGCTGGGCTGATGCCTCCGTTTCCCAGCTGCTGCTCTGATGTAATAGCTTTCTAATGCTGGGTTATTCCTGTCCCGGGCACCTGGCTCTGTGCCCCGGCTTCCTGTCCTGTACCATGGGTGCAGAAGCGAAAGCCAAGGTTCAGGCAAAGCTGAGATTCAGGTAAACCTTCAGCTCCTGGGCCCTGCAATGGCCACCTGGGACCAGGGCTCAGGTCAGGTCCTGTGTCTTCTTGCTGGCCTCACTGGAACACCCCCAGCAGCTCACATCCCTCCTGTGAGCCTGGATGGGGCACCGTGATAGGCTGAGGACCCTGGGGGTGGTCTTCCTGGCTTGTCAGCATCGGTGCCTGGCTGTAAGCCCCACCTGGCCCAGCCCTCAGCTCTTCCTCCTGTCACCCGCAGGCCTTCCAGCTGCAAGAGTTCGACCGGCTGATCATCCTGCGCAATGCCCTGTGGGTGCACTGCAACCAGCTCTCCATGCAGTGTGTCAAGGATGATGAGGTGGGTGGGGGCGGGGGTAGGAGAGTGGGCGGGTGTCCAGGGCTGATCCACAGCCCCCTGGCCCTCTGTGCTCCAGTCAGGAGTCTCAGATCTCAGCCTTGTTCCCAGCATCCCAGCGCTTGGTGCTGCCTGTGGGCTCTGGGTCCCTGCATCCACTCAGCCTGCAGCACCACCGGATCATGGACTCATCCCTGCCCCTCCGAGTTTCCTAGAAAGCAAAGTAGACATGACCCCTGCACAGGAAGTGCTCAGGAAGCAGGAAGCTGTTGGCTGGGGCTCTGAGCCCCATGAGGTCCTTCATTTCAGGCCCTGGGGGGGGGCCCGGACACCAGGTCCACAGCCTCTGCTCTCTCCCACCCCAGCTCTACGAGGAGGTACGGCTGACACTGGAAGGCTGCAGTGTGGATGCCGACCTCAACAGCTTCATCCAGGCCAAGGCCACTGGCACCGAGCCCCCGGGTAAGGCCTGCCTGGCCTAGGAGGCCACAGGGCTGTGTGGACCTCAGGCCGGGGAGGACTGGGTGGCTCACAGCTCTAGGGGCCAGGGCCAGTGCAGCCAGCTGGTGGGTCCCTGGCCTGCTGCCTCCCCGAAGTGAGTGCCCCAGGGTTCTCAGAAGCAAAGTGTGGATAGGGATAGGGATCGCAGGGAAGTCCCCAGCCCATCTCAGCCTGCTTGGTCCCAGCAAATCCATCTGCTACTGTGGTCCCGACAGCGGGGACCCTCAGGTAAGCAGCCAGGAAGTGGGGCCCAGGCCAGGGCATCAGGTGGAGGTCCAGGTCCAGCCGCCCACCTCGGTCCTCACATGCATGCCCTCTCAGCCCCAGTGCCCTACCAGAACTACTATGACCGGGAGGTCGCCCTGTCGGCTGGCAGCCCTGGCATGCAGCCGTCCTGCGGCATGATAAAGAGGTGAGCAGCAGTGGCGTCAGCAGGCGGGGACGGGGGCTCTGCCACTCTCCCGTGTGTGTGGTGCCTGAGAGTGCTGGGCACTTGGGAGGCAGGATGGCTGTCCAGTCTCAGGGATCCTAGGGTCCAGGCACTCACTGCACAATCACACCCCATTACTCACCATGACTGTGCCCTCATGCCAGCTTCCCTTCCTTTGGGTACCACTGTAAGCCTGGTGAGGCCCTGGACAGCAGGCTGCAGTGCCGGCACCCTCCATACACAGGGGCTGGGGATCAGAGCCTGCACCCTTGGGAATGCCTCAGGCTTCCCCCAGCCCTCCCTGCCCGGCAGTGGCCAGGTGCCAAGGTACTCGTGCTGTGCTGTGTGAGACCTGGGTCTGGCTGCTGTGGGGCCACAGGAAGAGGAGGGCTGGCTTAGTCCCGCTGGTGACAGCGCCAGCAGGGTGTTACAGCATGTGCTCCTGGGCCACAGCAGGCACGGGGACCTGAGTGTGTTGAGATCCCACAGTGCTCCGAAGGGTACGGGGTTTGGAGTGTTAGAGAAAAGGCACAGGAAAACACCAACACCCTTGGGGAGCCTTCTTGCCTGCAGGACACCCCATAAGTCACGCCCATGCAGGAGACATCCTGGCACTCTGTGGCTCCCCTGCCTCACCCCCTCCCTCCCAGGTGAGGACACCCACCTTCTTTCACCCCCACCCAGGTTCTCCGGGCTGCTGCATGGAAGTCCAAAGACCACATCCGTGCAAGCTCCTACTGGTAATGGGATGACTAGGGGGAGGGGGTCCCAAACCCTCTGACGCCGGGGGAAGGGGAGGAGGAACCCTGTGACAGACACGACCCTGAGAGGGAAAGGTCTCTTCCAATAGCAAGTGGGGTAGACAGGGCCATCAGGGATGGTCCTGAGAAAGGGGCAGGCCCAGCCTCACCTCTCAACCTCCACAGAGACCCTGACGCCCACCCCCGAGCGAAAGGAGTGTGTTTACGCAGACATCGCCATCCCTGTGCAGGGGGCACCTGCCCAGGATGGCCCAGCCCAGGACTATAGGGCGCTATACGATTATGCGGCGCAGGTAGGGGCCAGCTCTGCTCTGCACTCGAGTCTGGTTTGAGGGTCACGCTCTGCCCCTGGGATCAGGCTATTGGTATGGAGCGCTACATGGCCAGAGTGGGTCCCTTGGCCATGCTGGGACTGATTTTCTATGTCCCTAAGGCCTGCTCGAGGCCGCTGAGGGTGGCTGTGCTGAGTCTCAGGGTCTAGTCTGCTTCCTGTACAGAGTGGAGGGCTGCAGGTCTGCAGCCAGACTTGGCGGGGCTATGGCCAATGCCTGGGCAGCCAAGGGCTGGGTGTGGGCTGCACTGACCAAGGTCACGCAGGGACATGGACTCTAAGCCCGGTGCCCAGCTGAACAGCAGGCCAGGACAATGACTGGGTGCCCTTGTGCCAGTGGTCAGCCAGGGACACCTGGGGCCTGCAGCAGGGTTGGCTAGGTGGTGGCCTTGAGGGAGAGTGTGTCCTTGGCTCGGGTGGGCTGAGCACCTGACTCCCTTGTGCTCCTCCGCTGGCTGCAGCAGGCAGGGGAGGCTGCCGATGACACAGGACAGGGGATACCCACATCCTATCTGCCTCCAAAGAGGCTGCCTGGGCATGGCGCGGCTCAGCTGACCGCACTCCCAGCACATACTTCCTGATGGGGTGGGTTGCTGGGCCAGAGCCCCCACCGGCCCCTCTGGTTTCACACACTTGCCACCTCTGCCCAGAGTTCCGAGGAGCTGGACATTTCTGCGGGGGACATCCTGGTGGTCATCCTGGAGGGGGAGGATGGCTGGTGGACAGTGGAACGGAACGGGCAGCGTGGCTTTGTCCCCGGGTCCTATCTGGAGAAGCTCTGATCAACCCATTCTGCCTGTGGCCAAGACAGCGCTTGCTTCTCCCCAGGGGTTGGCCCCCAGGAATAAAGGTGTGCATTCTTGTCCTCCTCGCCTGCTGGGTCCCTTCCTCCATCAGAGGCAGAGTAGGAGGAACACAGCCACCCAGGCCCAATCCCACTGTGGACAAAGAGGGCTGGTCCCAGCTGCTGGAAACTCCCAGACTGCCACAAGGACATCTACACCTCTGGAACATGGAAGGGCTGGGATGGGAGACCACAATTCCCGGGGAAGGATGGGGTAGGTCTCGGGGCAGCAGCAGTCAGGACAGCCAGGTGTGAGCACCAGCAAGGTGAGGGGCACAGGAAGCTGGTGGTGGGTCTGCTGGAGCCCACGATGGGGTCTGGGATGTGGCCTCTGAGGTCTGGAGTGTCCACATCCTCACCTCCCCCGCCCCCAGCCAGGGCTTGCGCAGCCATGCTGTCACTCCAGAATGTACACAGGTGATGGTATTGTGCCCCATGGCCCTGGCTCTGCCTGGCCCCTCACTTGGTAGTCAGTATTAAGAGCCTGTCCCACACGCCCAGGCAAATGTCAGATGCCAGGGCAAGCCCTGCCTGAGCAAAAAGAGCAAGGCCATTTTACAGACACCTACCTCTATGCCACATCTTCGTCACCTGAGCGAAACAGCAGGCTTAGCGATTCAAACGTCATGGGTGAAGGATGGGACGGGCTTCCTTCCTCCTCAAAGGGCAGAAAGTGCTTTGGTCAGGAGTGGCCACCTCACAGGCCCGTGGGTGCAGGCAGGGCTGTGGGAGGGGGCAGGCAGAGGTGTGGAAGTTCGGCAATCTCCAGTGAGGGCTGAAGACCAGACCAGGTTGACATGTGCTGGGTGCCACGTATCCCTGCTGCCTGCCAGAGGTAGGCAGGAAAGAAGGTAGGAGGCCTCGGCCTCTATCCTTCCCCAAACGTCATTCGCCCCCATCAGGAACATCCTTTGGGAGCTGACAAACCTACCCCAGGTCTGACACCGCAGACGGGGACACCAGGAGAGAACAGTAAGTCAGCGAACAGCATTGGCTTTAAAGCCTGCCTGGCCAAAAAGGCCGAGCACCTCAGCCTGTGAATGCAGGACCAGGCTGGGCTATATAGTGAGACCCGGTCTCAAGCCCCTACTCCCAAAAAAGGCTGCTAGGAACCACCCCTCAAGTCCTGCCAGGGCTGGCCAGGTCCTGGGCCCAGCACCAGAAGAGTACAGTCAAGATACCCTGAGGACTCCAGTGTGATCATGGGGCAGTGACTGCTAAGATCCAGACTCAGGACTCGCATGTGATCACAGGCTGGGTGGGGCCTGCTATGCTACAACAGCAGCCAGAAGAGCTCTCTTCCCCACAGGGGCAGCCGGGCACTTCTAGCCCCTCACCAAGTGGGCTGACTGGGTCCTGGTGGCTCGTGTGGGAAGTGGCACCTGGCTGGAGACCCTCCTGCAAGAGAGAATCATCTGGACAGGACGGGATGGGGGACAGAGGGAGGTCAAGGAGAGGTCAGCAGAGGATTCTCAGCTGAGCCTTAAGAGAGGGGAGGGTCTGCCACAGCCCCACATGGAACAGGAGATGGCGCAGTGACAGGGCATGCACAAGGGCCCAGGAGGACAGGACTGACCAGGGGCTCAGGGTGTGTGGGGGCAGCAAGGAGGAAGTAAGAGCAGAGGCAGGCACCCGGGTGTTACTTATTCCCCACGAACACCTGTCTTCTTGATGGAGCACCCCATTCCACTGCAACCATTCTTTAGAAACCTTTGGCCTAGATATTCATCACTGTGACAGGTGCAAGGTGGCTGTGGGCCTGGTGGCTGACGGGTAACAACTGTTAGATAATAGCATGGTTCTCCAAAGTTCAGGCAGCCAGAGGAGAATGAGAAGCAACTTTTGGTCACAATTTATACCAGGAAAAAACTCAAGAAACGAATCCAAATCAGACCCATCCCCTCCGCAGCTTCTGCCACTGCCCTGTGCACCAGCTCACAACCTCAGCCGTGGAAGCCATCTGCACTGTGTGTGCGCACGCTTTCCAGCAGAGGACAAAGGGCCAGGGAACAGGAGCCGGCCCATGTGGAATTGGGTATGGACAACCTCAGCCTCTTCCTGACAGTGTGGGGCCAGTGTGGGGCCAGGGGAGAGCATGGCCTCTGAGGTCAGAACATCACCCGCCGAAGCCAGCTGTGACACCTCCTTGGGTGAACGTAGGAGGTCATAATTTTTCTGGGTCCAAATTCCATCACCAGTAAGCTGGGTTCAATACAACTATGCAAGTTGTTATTCCCATACTGTTCAAATTTGATGACAGCCAAATGCTAATTAAAGCCAAGGGCCTACCACTTAGGGAGGGTGAGGCAGGAGGATCCCAAGTTGGAGCCCTGCCTGGACAACTTGGTGAGACCTTGTCTCAAAATTAAACAATAAAAAGAGCTGGGGATGCAGCTCAAAGGCAAAGTATCCCTAGGTTTGATCCTTAGTAATGCGAAAGAAAAAAACCAAAAAAAGCAAGGGACTGTTGCCCACATCCTGCAAATCTTAGCCATTCTCAACAGCAGCTCTGAGCTCAGCATGACTCAATGCACACTCTGGGACAGCACTGGCCAATGGTGATGAGACTAAAAGAAGACTGGTATCTACACCGAATCCCCACATTCTACAGCATGCTAGGCCGAGTGGTCAGGCATGGTCAGGCGGAACCTGCGTGTCTGTTTCCCCACCCTGCTGTGGGAAGACAGGACACACTCAGAATGGGTCTTTGTAAAGGCACCAAGTAATTCCCTCAGGAGAACCCAGAGGTGCTATGATAAAAAGCCAGAGAACAAATACTTTCAAGAACTGTTACATGTGCTGGATACAAGACCAACACACAAAGTAGGTGCTCCCACATATCATGGTCCACTAGGAAATGCAACAAGAGAATTATTCCACTCAGAGTAGCAATGGACTGAGCTTCACAGAGAAGTTTCCCAAGCAAACTCCATATAGATCTGCAGAAAATAACCTAGACAACAGCCTGTAACATGGAGCTAGGGAGAGGCAAGTGTGGTGGTCCATGCCGTAACCCCAGCACTTGGGAGGCTAAGGTGGGCGGATCATGGCAAGTTCAAGAACAGCCTGGGCTACATAGTGAGACCCTGTCTCAGAAAAAAAAAAAAAAAAACCAGAAAGGAAACCAAACCGAACCAAAACAAAAACTGGGCAAAGGACAGTAAGTGAAAATCCAGGATAACAGCAGCAGAAACACTCTTGGGCCAGACTTACACTCAAATACATACTTTCATCTGCCAGACTGGAATTAGAGATGAAGGTTGGTAACACTCCAGGCATCAACGAGGGTCAGGAAATGCCCTTTTGTGCAGACAGTGGGAAGATAAATTGGTTATCTTCCTGGACAGCAACTGGTCAGATCTATGAAAAATTTACATACAGCTTTTGGTGCAGAGTAAATTCATCATGTACTAAAAATCTCCCCACGAGCCCATGCAAAAATGCACAGCACGGGGTGATGGAGGCTTTGAACGGGCACAGGTGGTTGGCTGTTTACATGATTACTCCATACCACATGTGCTTCAGCTCAAGAAGCACACCTGCCCGTGCTTCTCATCAACAGACTCTGTATACAAAGGAGGTCCCATGCAATTACAACACCTACTGCCTAGTGATGTGACGGCTGTCCTAGCAACAGGCCCATTCCTTGGGTATGGAGTAAACACACACAGTGCGCAGTCATGGGGACATACAGCATGTACAATTACGTACGGTGCAGGTCTGATATGGTAAAACACCATGACTGGTTTATGGGTTTAATACACTAGACTTTAGGTGTGTCCCATCTCCAGCCCATGGGCCACATGTGCTTTTAAATGCCAAAATAAAAAACATTTTTAAAGTTTTGTTACATACATTAGCTTTATTATGCATTTTACATGCAGCCCAGGACAACTTGGCATCACTTGTGGTCCAGGCAAGCAAAAGGCTGGTTACTGCCGCCTGAGAGTGCACTCCTGTGTCAGGTGCAGCAGGTGCGCTCCTGCCACAGCGCTTCCCAAGCTGTGTCCACCAAGTGTCCTGACTGCGGCAGGGCCACGAGGAGTGACTACCACCCAGGCTTGCTAAGTACACTCTACAGCAGCAACTAACCCCACACTCTCAGGACCCATTCCTACCAGGAAGTAACACGTGACTGTGCACACAGCACGGTTCACAGCAGCAAAGCTGAAGCAGCCTCAAGATCCGTCCACTGTACATTAGTTCACTGTGGTATTAAATTATCTGTACAGCTGACAGAAAGCAAGCACAAGTCCTACACTCCAACCCAGCAAGATGACCACACGGTGTTGGGAAGAGAGACCCTGTGGAATAAACGTCATGTAACAGGAAAAACAAAACCAAAACCCACCACCACGCCTGTTTCTATATATGTAGAAAAAGAGACTAGAAAGACATACACCACTCCTAACTGGCTCATCTGTGCGTCCTATTATTTAAATGGTATACGCATGTATGCAGTATTGGGTAGGGATTGAACTTGGGCCTTCGCACTGAGCTAAATCCCCAACCCTTTTTATCTTTTGCCTTGAGACAGGGTTTGAGTTGCCCAGGATGGGCTCAAACTTCTCATCTTTCTGCCTGTCTCTATTAACATTTTTAAAGCATCAATTATTTTTGCTTTTTTTTTCCTTTCTGAAAAAGACACAAGTCAAAAATCTGCAAGATGAAAGGCAAAGATATGATCTGAGCCATAAAAGGGAGATGGATCATAGACAACTTATAGTGTCAGAAGAGACAGAAGCGCTTCAAACAATGTGGGGTCAGGAAGCAACTTGAAGGGGCTCACTGGCCCATCGGGAAACATTTCAGGAAGCCTTTCCCCTTCACAGACAGTGACAATTACAGCCTGCTGACAGGAACAGGACTCCATCGTTCTCCGTGGGTGTAGGTGGACATTCAGAAATAAGCAGTGGGGAAGGGAGGGTGGACGGCCTGGCAAACGAGGACAGTAGCGGACTGGAAAAACACTCAGCCCGGGGAAGATGGATTAGGGCGAGGCAGTACTGTGTGCCAGCTCTG